AAACATCTCTTTTCATTATGATACATTTGTATTTTCCACTTGTTTTCACAAAATATTATACTTTACCATTTGAGGGTATGACACTGCTAGAGCTCATGACACATGATCTGCATTACAACTCATAATTTAATACTTATTTAAATGTAGTTTAACAGAACTGCAAATTTAACCAGAAAGCAGTAAAACTATCATTTTCGTCAGATTCTCAGAAATGCTTTACAATAAAAACTGATGCCATCTGCAGTTTTTAAGACAGTTAGGTATTGGGTTTGTTATTTTAATAAGTTTCCAGAATGAAATCTTCTCTAAGGTGTCATAGTTTTCTCTTTATTTAGCTTGTAATAATTCAATAATGAACAAGTTCCCAATGTCTTTTTATAAAAGCAAAAACATTAGTGTCTTACATAGAAGAATACTGACCAGACAGTAAAACAGAGCACCATGTTAGAAGATTGATCTAAAAAAGATCACATTTGTATAGAACCTTAATGAATTGTCCTTATCATAGTAGTTATCTTAAATATTCTAAAACTGGTTTTTCTGAAAATTGTCAGGTCCTGGGTTTATTCCGCTTATTCTGCTGTAAGGGCTCATTTCTTTTTTTAATTTGAAGTGAACAATATTTTACTTCCCAAGAATTCCCTATGTTATACAATCAGCAATCACAAAGGTGTTAGTAGGAACAGTATATGTAGGTAAGTTCAGAACAAATGCATCACTGTCCAGACCACAGTGCCATATTTTCAGTATTTGTGGAAAGTCTCAGTCTCACTTCAGTGCCTGGTAATGTTATGATGATTATTCAGGTGAAAAACACCTGGAAAACAACTCAGTCACTGGACACAACCAGTACAGCTTCATGAGAGGGAAGTCCAGTTTAACAAACCTGATTTCCCTTTATGACAAGGTAATCCACATAGTTGATCAAGGGAAGCTGGTTGATGTAACCGTTTGGATTTCAGTAAAACCTTTGACAGTGTCTCTCACAGGATCCTTCTGGAATAAAACTTCCAACACACAGCTGAATAAACACATTGTGTCATGGGAAAGCAACTGGCTCACATTATGTCATGGGAAAGCAACTGGCTCACAGGTCAGGCAGAAAGAGTTATACTGAGAGGGGTGACATTGGAATGGGGTCCTGCTGTTAGTGGGGTTCCACATGGCTCTATTCTCAGCCTTGTGTTCTTCATCATCTTCAGAAATGACTTGAAATGCAGGACTGGAAGGGATACTAAGTGAGTTTGCAGATGATACAGAACTGGGAGGATCTGCCAACTCCCAGAAAGTCCCTTCAGAGACACCTCAAAAAGTTAGAGAGGTGAGCAATGACCAACCATGAGAAGTTCAACAAGGGTAAGTGCAGTATTCTGCACCTGGGATGGGACAACCCTGCATGTATGGACAGACTGGGGAATGAGATGCTGAGAGACTGGGGAAAGCAGAGCTGTGGAAAGGGACCTGGGAGTTACAGCTGATAGCAAGTTGACCATGAGTCAGCAGTGCCCTGACAACCAAGAGGGCCAGCCACATCCTGGGGAACTTTAGGCACAGCATCACCAGCCCGGCAAGGGAGGGGATTGTCCCCTCTGCTCTGCACTGGGGTGGCCTCACCTTGAGTGTTGGGGACAGTTTTGGGTGCCACAAAAAAAATATTAAGGTCTTAGAGACCATTCAAAGGAGGGCAGCAAAGCTGGTGAAGGGCCTTGGAGAGAAGCCATATGAGGAGTGGCTGAAGTAACCTGGGTTGTTCAACATGGAGAAGAGGACACTGAGGGGGCACCTCACTGCTGTATAGAACTTCCTTGTGGAGGGGAATAGGAGGGGCAAGATCTCTTAGATCATAGGATCTCTTCTCTGTGGTGATCAGTAACAAACAGGAGGGAATGGCCCAAAGTTGTGTCTGGAAAGGTTTGGGTTGGACATCAGGAAAGCTTTTTCCCCCTGAGGGTGGTTGGACACTGGAGCAGCATCCAGGAAGTGGTCACAGCACCAGCCTGACAGAGTTCAAGAAGCATTTGGACAATGCTTTCAGGCACAGGGTGTGATCCTTGGGGTATTCTGTGCAGGACTAGGGGCTGGACAAGGTGGTCCTTTTGGGTCTCTTCCAACATGGCTTATTCTGTGATTCTGTGATTCATTTTGGTATGAAAATATTGATGTTCACAAATGAACCCAGGAAACATACACTAACAGAATCAACACTATACACCAAAGAACAGAGATTTATAATACTGCTTATTGGGTGGGGGGGCGGTGGGGAGGG